ACCGAATCATATACTTTTTTTGTTTGTTTAGATAAATCGCTCAGAGGGGTTTGACCAAGCAGTTATTGTACAAATCATCCAAGCACCCCATTCCCAGCCATTTCTAATATACTTTTGATTAATATGACTAAATATTAAATATTGTAACGAAATTGCAGATCCATCATTGATTGTCAAAAGAATTCCATCTAATTAGATTTCACGTAGCATTTCAGTCGTGGAAGACTGATTGGTTGATAACTTTTGACAAGGTTTAGTCCAGGTGCCAAAAGAATTCATTCCCAGCGCACAGGACACAGTTTGAGCAAAAGCAGAGATTCGCGACATTTGTCAGTAAAATAATGCTAATATAAAATACCTACACCGGAAACTGAAACCGCGTGCGCGCTAAATAAAACAAAATAATTTAATAAATGCATATTTACAATAGGCACTTAACTCAAAGTATTAAGTAATAAGAGAAATAACTAGAGAGGGCTGACTATAATCAGCTTGCTTCCATTTAGTTGGATAAGCCTACTCGTCACCTGAATTAAAAAAAGCCCTTCTTGTCTTCAGTGATGCACGGGCATAGTTTGAGCATGCTCACGCAATATCTGAGAAAGCAGAGCCAACTCACAAGAGAACACTGTCTATTTAAAAGCGCACGTCAGTGTTGTGTGAGAGCGAAGAAAATCCGCCAGCTGGAGAGATTCGTGCTCGCGCCTTACATTACTGCGCTCTCCACATTTGTCAGTAAGATAACGCTATAGAAACCGCCTAAAATTAAGTATATAGAAGAGAAGAAAGCAGGAAGCTTCCTATTACCCATGCCAGGATCCGCCACTGATGCACTTAGAAATGTAATAAAAACAAGCCAATCGCAAGACATCTGGTAGGAGTGGCACATAAAGCAAAAAAATAAAAAATAGTGTGATTTTATGAAGACAATTAATGAAAAAAAAAAAGACATTTTATGTTGTACAATTGAAATACCATGTGGAAAATGGAATTACTAATTGAAAACAATTATTAATAATTCATGTTTACCCCTCAGTTTTTCCTCTTGGAACCTCCTTTGAAGCCCCTTGATCTAAAGAAGACCAGAAATGCAAATCATCGTAATTTAAAGTAGAAGCACAAACTTCATCTTTTCATTCTGCAATTCATTCATGCGTGCATTCTAATTTAGAACTCGGCCATTGTGACGTCACACGGGCACCACAGGCGCGATGACGTCACGCGCGCGGTGAGTCATTAATAATTCTGATTCTGATGCATCGATATTTGGTCATTCTGATTCTGATTCAGGAGTATAGCGAGAATAATGGCGGAGCGCAGCTCGCAAAGCAGTTCTGAGTCCATTCTCTCCTGGAAGGAGGAACTTGTTAACCTGTTAGTAAATCCCCCGAGAGAGAACCCTGGTCCTAAGCTGGTCACGTGGGCAGACGTGTCCTACAGATTGCCCATTGAACCCAAACGCATCCCTGGACGGCCCAAGAGCTGCATGAAGGTCACTAAAACCAACTTTGACTATAAAGAAGAGCCTTACTGCAGCCTACGGAGCCAGTCGAAGCCGCTTCCCTCGCCCTGGAGAGATGAGGTGAGGAACAGGTGGAACACACCTGCAGACGAGGAAGCGGCTCCTGAGAGGGGAATGCTGTCCCATCTGAGAGACATGCCGACCAAAGCTTCCAAACGCATCCTGAAGGCTTTCCTGAAGCTTACGGAGAATAAATGGGAGCGTCTGGCTGAGACTGGGACGTTCTTGGTGCATTCCGTCACGGTTCAGGAGCCCGGGAGGGTGGCGTGGCCCGATACACCCATGATCCAGAGGCATTACACATCTACTGTGGAAAGAAACATGCAAGAGATATTCCAGCAGACCATAAGAGAAGCAGATCAGCTGAGGGAAACGGCTCTTATTAAGCCGGGGAACTCTCCCTGGAAAAGGTGTGGGATCTGGCTGAAGGAGAAAGTCCTGGGCCGTCCCACACCCAAGAGGAGCTGCCTAAAGAAAACCAAAGCAGAAAGCGTCTCTGGAGACGAGGTGCCTCACAGAGACCCGTGGAGGTCAGATACTTCACCTCCCATCGAACAGAGACTCCCTCGCAAGCCGAGCTGGACACGGAGCTCAAAACAGTCACATTCGTCACCGGGTGCGAGATCGACTTGATCTGATTCCTCATGAGCTCTCTAAAAACTCTAATAATGTTCAAATAATTAAGTGCAGATGTGACAAAAAAGTGCATTTAAAAAAAATTTGCAAGACATGGGTGCAAGGTCTTCCTCAAAACAAGCAGAAGAAAGAAAACGAGGAAGGAGAAATATAGGCATTTAACAAAAAAAAGAAATGTGTAAACATGGACTATATATATTCAAATAAAAACTAAAAATTTGGCCATTTATCTGTGTAAACATACTATAAATACAATATACATTTTTTACAAATAAAATCAAATTAACAGCACGTTGCTGTCTTAGTTTTGAAAGGGTGAAAACTCAAAATCCTTCTTGCTTTTTAATGTGTGACAATTTCATTGAGAACTTTTTGAAGAATTACTCATTGAATTGCGCTGGACACGGAGCTCAAAACAGTCACATTCGTCACCGGGTGCGAGATCGACTTGATCTGATTCCTCATGAGCTCTCTAAAAACTCTAATAATGTTCAAATAATTAAGTGCAGATGTGACAAAAAAAGTGCATTTAAAAAAAATGTGCAAGAAATGGGTGCAAGGTCTTCCTCAAAACAAGCAGAAGAAAGAAAACGAGGAAGGAGAAATATAGGCATTTAACAAAAAAAAGAAATGTGTAAATATGGACTATATATATTCAAATAAAAACTAAAAATTTGGCCATTTATCTGTGTAAACATACTATAAATACAATATACATTTTTTACAAATAAAATCAAATTAACAGCACGTTGCTGTCTTAGTTTTGAAAGGGTGAAAACTCAAAATCCTTCTTGCTTTTTAATGTGTGACAATTTCATTGAGAACTTTTTGAAGAATTACTCATTGAATTGCATGTTTATGTTCATAATTTCTACACTTTTAGTATATGTTTGGTCTGTGAAGGCCTTTTGTTTTAATGACAGCACTGATGAATGTGATTTGGAAGCGCTCCACTTAATTACACTGATGTTTCTGTGTTTCTAAACGACAAACACCTGGACTCTGAAGCTTGGATTTGGATCTTTAATATTCTTGATGGTGTTTTAGTACGTGTACACACACACACACAATCTTTGTAAATAAGGTCAGTTTTATTGCTGAAATCCCTCGGCGACTCAGACACTGGAGACACACGATGCTTCAGGACGCTTCGACACTCGCTCATATAAACTCATGCAGTTTCTAAAAGTTCTCAAAACCACACTGTTGTTAAAAAGATGATTTGGTTCCTTGAAAGGTTCAGTTTTCTGCATGGGTTCAGTTCAGTGACGCTGATGTTTGATTTTGTGCCAACGTGACAACATTTGGTGCCATAATGTCCAAGCGCATCCATCAGGAAAGCACTCTTATTCCTGCAGGACTTCCAGAAACAATGCCACAATTTGGAACCCGTCCTAATGAAAATGAAGTGAAATGTTCTTACTGGATTCTTCCCTCTGCTGAGGTCGTTTGATCGTTACATGGTCTTGGAAAAACATCTTGCAACCTGAGCTACAGGAGTGGTTGGTTAAACTCGTTTTGATGTTGGGAAACGCTGAGTTTCAGTTTGGTTTCAGGTTTCAGATTATGATCAAAATTCCCACAGAACCTGCCATTTCAGGACTTCAGTTCAGCAAAAACAATGAGCACTTCATCTGAAATCATTCCTGCTTGAGGGAGCCATAATTCAACAATCTCTAATCTACTTCAAATGGTGAATAAATAAAAAAACATTGTGCATATTACTAAAGTGCATGCAGAATATGATTGTAGCTTCACCCGCTGGATGTTTGAGCATTAAACTAAGAATCGATTTGCCGTCGTCTCTATTCCATTAGTGAGTTTTCCCTCACACACTTGTGACACACTTCACCACATGAGCTACAGTCGAGTGAAACACCCTGAAAAACACTAAGAGAAGTTTGAGTCCTTACACTGGGATGAAAAACTTATTCATCAGATATTTATGGAGATGATGATCACACGTCTGTCAGTGCATCATAATTAAATCTCGTTTATTAAAGGTGAATTCAGAAGGAAGGATGATGGGCGCCTAAAAAGGATTTCTAAAAAAAAACAGTGAGAAAGGATGTTAAAATGCAGCATTTAACTCAAAAACACATTGTATAAAACAAAAAAGAAAAACATGAATAAAACATGACGATGGCCATCAGGACATTTGCTGACAGGCATGACAACAAATGCTTCATTTGCATGACAAAAAAAAGAATGCAAATGACGTGAAGCAACTCTAGAAAAATGGTATAAATATAACTTAAAACAATCATCATCCACACACACGTGAGAGAGAGCCTTCGACAATATCAGAGCTGAAATGAGAAAAATGCATTAAGAAATGAGGCTCTCAGGCCCTGCAGATTCACATGATGAATGAAACGCTTCATATAAAGATCCTCCTGTAGATGAGTGTGCCGTGGACGATGAACGAAACCCAGGATGAAGCAGCAGCGGGGGATCCTGTAAATATGCGTGAACTGTCGAACGGACCGTTTGTAAAAGCGCTCGTGTTTCACCAAAGCTGCGTGTGAATGCGGTCAGTGCAACAGTGCCCCGCTGGCAGCCTGAGAATCCGCTGATCTGAGGATGAGGATGATGAAGATGATGATGATCGCAGTCTGGTGGTGGAGTTCTGCTGAAGGCATCCAGCTCGTGACGAGTCCATCAGCGGTGCTCCTCTACGGCCGGTGAAACCTGCCAGACACAGCATCAAAACAGCTGTGATGGTACATTACTTATGAACTGTAGCCGTTACAGATTATAAACTGTAGTTTGTAATATAATCTATTGGATTACACATATTAGGTAATGACTACTTTTGGATCTTTCGGATTTCTAAAAAAAAACAGTGAGAAAGGATGTTAAAATGCAGCATTTAACTCAAAAACACATTGTATAAAACAAAAAAGAAAAACATGAATAAAACATGACGATGGCCTTCAGGACATTTGCTGACAGGCATAACAACGAATGCTTCATTTGCATGACAAAAAAAGAATGCAAATGATGTGAAGCAACTCTAGAAAAATGGTATAAATATAACTTAAAACAATCATCATCCACACACACGTGAGAGAGAGCCTTCGACAATATCAGAGCTGAAATGAGAAAAATGCATTAAGAAATGAGGCTCTCAGGCCCTGCAGATTCACATGATGAATGAAACGCTTCATATAAAGATCCTCCTGTAGATGAGTGTGCCGTGGACGATGAACGAAACCCAGGATGAAGCAGCAGCGGGGGATCCTGTAAATATGCGTGAACTGTCGAACGGACCGTTTGTAAAAGCGCTCGTGTTTCACCAAAGCTGCGTGTGAATGCGGTCAGTGCAACAGTGCCCCGCTGGCAGCCTGAGAATCCGCTGATCTGAGGATGAGGATGATGAAGATGATGATGATCGCAGTCTGGTGGTGGAGTTCTGCTGAAGGCATCCAGCTCGTGACGAGTCCATCAGCGGTGCTCCTCTACGGCCGGTGAAACCTGCCAGACACAGCATCAAAACAGCTGTGATGGTACATTACTTATGAACTGTAGCCGTTACAGATTACAAACTGTAGTTTGTAATATAATCTATTGGATTACACATATTAGGTAATGACTACTTTTGGATCTTTCTCATAAGAAAATATAGGGTACAACGGGGCAAAAGGCGTCTTTGATATTATTTTCATCTAAACCACTAGATGGCACAAAAACGTAGCTTAGCACTTTCCAAAACATCCGCTTTTCAAGATGCACCTGTATATTTGTCTGATCCTTGACGCGATCGCACGCAGCAGCGCAAAGTCGATTCTGTGCTTACTTGTTTTTTAAAATGTTGTAGATTTAAGTAGCAAATTAGAATCGCAAAAATTAATGCATATATTTTGAGACAAAAGTCTTCTTTATGATTTCAGTTTTGTTTAAGATAATTAAAGCAACAGATTTTAAATAACGAAGGAATATGTAAAAGTATGGTGTTTGGGGTAAAAAGCGCCCTGCTGTTGGGGCTAACAGTAATTAACATGATAATTAATAGAGGGCTGACTTTTCCATTTGTTGACATGACGTGGTTAGATTCAGAAGTAAATATCATATATTATGTTGGGTGTCCATATTAGAGATAATCACCATGTTTAGAATGAAACCATCATATTTAAAAACATGATATTAATCATATCATATAATAAAATATCATTTGTTGTTACTACTGTAAATATATATTCAATTATTATTGGTTCTCCTTCAATGCTTTCAGAATCTTTACTTATTAAAACAATTTTGTTTCTGTATTTTTAAAATATATATATTTTTTTATATTAACATTTTAATGACAGTATATTTATTGAACAAAAAATAATATTTAAAAAAAAAATTTTTTTTATGTTTATCAACATAATGAAGTGCATTAAACATTACATCAGAGTTTCCCAAACTGGGGGTTGTGATGAAAAGCAAATAATTATTTAAAATCATAAGTGTCAAATTAAACAAATTAAGTCATTTCAAAATAAAAACAATTGAAATACAACACTTGAACAGTAAAGATATTTGGTTTATCTGCATGTCATTAAGACAGTTACCTGGCATCAGAGAACTGTGAATGTGTCGTTAAATTATTGAAATATTCTTTAAATGCCGTGTGGCCTCTTCATTTTCTGTGTAATTATAGTCAGCTGACTCGTGGCTGGTGTGTGCTAATGTATAAAAGCAGTAGAATTTTTTTAGATAGGAAATTATTAAGACAAATCAATACATTATGAATAATTTGCTGCCATTGTGTGAATATGTAATAAAAGTAACTAATCTAATTATAAGCATTTTAAAACGTAACATAATCTGATTACAAATAGCTCATTTTTGGGATCTGATTACATAATCCAGATTACATCTAATCTGCTCTGTCCCGAGCACCGGTCATCAATCACAGCAGTGAAAAATACAAATCACCCTCGTATATTTATACCATATGATATAGTTTAGCAATATTATTCCCCAATATCTGCACCACTGCCAAAGTGTAATCAAGCATAGTCAAACAACTATAAATGCTTGACAGCCTCAATTTATATAAATCCACAAAAAATGTTTTGTCCATACGTCCTTGATTTTTTTCTAACTTTATGTCTCATCTTTGATGTCAAATTCATACATTTAATCAATTAATTCAGTTAGAATAATAAGACAACATTAGGCTGTTAACACTCAAATGAAGTCAGTATTAACAAAACCCATCTTAACACTAGAAGTGGCACAAAAGCTGCATCTGAAGTACCATTTAGATGTATTTACACAGATTGTTTAATGCAGCTCAGAAGTGGCATGAAACGCATTCATACTGCAGTTGATTTGGATTTTATGATATGATTTTGATCATCAGTTGATATGATTTTGAATATGAAACTAAAAGCACCAATAGGTGGTGGCAAGTCACTGTCTTAATGAGTGAGTCACTAAATCATTTGATTTCAAAAGGACTGAATCATTCAGGAATGAAGCGAGTGACTGTCTGTATGATTGACTCATTGAATCATTCGCTCAACCGATTCACTCAAAACGCAAATCATGTGAGGAATGAAGCACCGCTGTGTGTGGCTCGGAGAAACACAGCAGTTCTGCTGGCTGTTTATATTGGTAAAACAGATTAAAACAGACAATAACGGGTTTAAAATATCACTTAGGTGAACTATCCCCTTTAATATTAAATTAAAGATTTTTATACAACAGTTCAATATGCTTCACCTGGTCAGATGGCGGCTGGACTCGTGCACCTCCATCTCATTGCTCTTGAAATCATTCAGCTCTTTCCTGATGGCGGCCTGCAGCAACAAACACACACACACACAGACGCACAAACGCACGCACACGCACACAGAGTTCATGTGTCACTCCAGCTCCCTGAAGAGGCTCACAAACTCAGTTTAGACCTGTGTAAATCCTCTCGTCGCTTCATTTATATAACGGAGCATCATTGAGTAACAGGAGCTCAGAGTTTTCATCTGAACAGGTGCACGTGTTGCTCAATGTGCCACCCGTCGATCAGCGGAGCATGATCACACACACCTGACGGCGGAGTTACCTGCCATTCACACACCTTACTCCATCAGTTCTCTTCATTTTTATATTATTGATCATTTTAGTGACTAAACACTTCTGCACACAGCTTTGTTACCTAATTATTTTGCTCCAATTACAAAACACCAGAACAGTGCTTAACATGTAACACTCAGGAAGTGTTTTTGCATTAAGATTTATGAATATTAATGCAAACTTCCAACAGAATAAATCGTATCATGTTTAGCTGATGTTTCTGTGAAGCAGCACTACTCTCTGAAGGTTACACAGCTGAAGTTCTGTTCTGTAGGATCTCGGTTTGTATTTGCCAAATGTGCTTTGCCTTGCTTCTTGCACGAAAATTAGTGATGCACCACTTTAAAAAATAAATAAAAATAAAAACATAATTAAAGTTTTAATTTAGCCAAAAAAAAAAAAAAAGGAAAATAATTTATTTAATCAATTAATTAATCAAATATATTTAATAAACATAAATAAACATTTAAATTGCACATGAGGCAGTTTTTTTTAATCTCTTTTTAATATAATTATAATTCTATTCCGATTTATTGCTGAAATATAAACATTTAAATGACAGATGACATTTATTCAAACATACATTAAATGTCAACAGATTCTGTAAAATATAATATGTAATATACTGCATATATTTATCAAAATGCTCCTCTCTACAGTAATTTTTTCTAGCTAATGATCGAGTTTATGGTCATTGAACGTCTTTTCTGAGGTAAACGTGATGTTAGGTGACATTTTTGATCACAAGCTGTTTTATTGATGGTTGAATCACTGATTGATTCTGTGATTCAGGACTGATTTCAGCGAGTTGTTCTGTTTCTGCTGTTCATTCATGTTTATTTGCTGCTGTAACTAGTAGTAAAGAGGAAGAGACGACCGCTTCACTCCAGCATCTGTCAGCACACATTAAAGAGCAGCAAAAACACATTTACTCATTGAAAGCGGAGACATTGTTTCTTATCAAAAGGGACAAATAAAAAAGCTTATTGTGATTATTGAATGGCAGGAGCTACAAATAGAGTTTAGTGAAGTATTTGTAAACTGAAAACAGAGTAAAAGATCTCTGTTCAAAATAATTCAGTTGTCGAATGTCAGTGCATCACTAATGAAAATCACAGTCTAAGCCCTCCAGATGTGACGCGTCTCTCAGTAGCGGACCGATCACATCTCAGCCATCAACACTCATCTGACTCGCCTTGTCGGCCGCTGTGAGTCTCGTCCAGGGTTTGTCGGTGCGTCTGTCGTAGTCCTGAGCGTCTGCCACCTCCACGTAATCACAGAAGCAGATCAGGATCTTAGCGTGTCGCAGCTCCTCCACTGTAGGCCTCTGACTCAGCTGAAACACCACACACACTCAGCACGTTATAAACACACACACACACACACACACACACTCAGCACGTTATAAACACACACACAAACACATTCACACACACACACACACTCAGCACG